ACAAAATATCGTTGTCGAAATTAAAGCGGTTCAAAAACTTCGCAGTTTAAAATCATTGTCGTCGAAAATATCGAGGGAAAAAAATTCCTACAAGTCATCGCATGACGATAACATCGCAGACATGAGTTTTTCAGGCTTTAATAACTGTAAATGGATATTCGCATAAATGATTTGTGAGCGCAAGATGGAAACAGAACAAAATATTTAAACAAAACAAGAAATAATTTTCAATATGAGAGTATCAGATTAGCAAAAGTAAAGAAAATAATCTCATAATTAACTTAAAAATTTTTTATAGATAAAGTCATGTAGTTGCTTAACTTCCTTTTTTATTCTTTTTTAGATTATATTTTTCATGAGAAATTACCAGTAAAACTTTATAAAAAATAATTTATTAATGACCTTTGTCAGTTCTATTAAGTCTATTTAATTCTATTAAAATTCTAATAAGTTCTATTTCATGAAGTTGCAAATTAGTTAATTTATATAAAGGTAGAGTTTTTTAGTTTGAGGGAGAGCTTTTCGCAGCCTTTCTGTTCTGCTACTTAGTTTATCTGCGATCCATGCTATGCCGGCCCTGTTTGGCGAATTCATGCAAGGCTAACCAGTGAAAAACTGCAGTCTGCGAAGAACTGTATTCTAAAGCAGATCTTAAATGCATTATGGTATATCCGTAATAACAGATTACGTGCCGAACTACAATTTTTCCAACTTTGAATGTTTTCATATTAGTCAGCGCGAAACTGTTAAGAAAGTCAAAAGCAAAATTAATAGTTCTGCTTCCAAAACCTATGACTGAAGCGATTTAGGAGATCAGATCAATTTGCTGTTCTTAAATTATTACTTTATTTAGTTTTTATTTATATACTTATTTTTGTAACTAGCAGTTAGCAAGTTAATAAATTATAAATTACTTAGCGGGTACTAATTGACAGCACACCTTACCAAAGTTTTCGTCACTTCCGATTCCTTCACCAGCTTAGCTCATGTTGCATAAACTGTTAAATGCTATGAGGAAACAATTAATATTAATCTACTTAGGTATGCATACTACTTACATTATTTGAAATAAAAATTTGCAAATGCGAATACTTTTCGATTTGAGGCAGAGTCTCGTGTCCAGGCACTCAGTTGTACAAGTTGTACATACCATATATTCTTTTGCGATGCTGTTTTGTGCCTCTCTCTATTGAATTAATTTATTGGCTTTAAATTCACTAGACGTAAGTATTTCATGAAGATTTAGGACTCGAGCCGAAGCTTGTTTAGGCGCATGTAACTTAGTTTGTATTTCCTGCACTTAGAAAGGTTTTTTAGACGGAGCTACATCTTTTTCCTCACGCTTCTAACTAAGATTTGGCATTTTAGCGTAGCAAAGAACCGTGAAAATCTAAGGTTACTTTGAAGCAGATATGCTGTAAAAGACAATAATTATGTAATAAAAAACTTAGGTAGGGAATTGTATTAGACTAGACAGCAACCATCAAAACACCCAAGCATGCTACGACGATTCCTGATGAAAATTATTTTGCTTAAGACATGCAATAAATAAATAAATAAAACTCTCAGCTCTAAGCCTGTACAAATTCAGAAAATAGTTAATTCAAGCTAGCGAAATTTATTAAAACTTGTTCTTAATTCAGGCTTTTGGGACTTCAGCTTTTGTTCGAAAATTCACCAAAATTCAAGCTTCCTGATTTTGATTTAAGGAGAGTTCACTGAGAATTTTGCGCTGCATAAAGGCCATTATAAAAAGTAACGAACTCGGAACGTTCCGCTGACTAAGTATAATTCCGAGGTATAATTATTAGCATATTAACTACTTGGCTACTAGTGGATTTATTTAAATTGCTAGAGTATAATGCGTTTTTCATAATTTATTTATGCGTTTTTATAATTAAGTTCATGACGGCTATATGCCTAAGAAAAAGGACGGCTTTGTAAAGAATTTTTCTGTCTAGTGATTAGTGTGTGTAAATATAGCTATATCTTAAAGCTAATCTTAAATTACACAAATTTAAAAAAAAAAAAACTTGGTACTGTTAATCTTACAAATATCATAAACAGCATACACACACACGTTGACAAGTACTTAGACAACAGTCAATAACAAGATGAGCTTCGCATACCGAGGTTTATATTTTAAAGCACATTTCTATTTTAAATTGTTACTTTTAAGCAATAATGTTGTTTCTATTCGAAACCATAAAGCATTTTTCGTGATATTCTAAACACGTTAGAAAACAAACGCAAACTTTTACAGTGTTTCCTCATTAAGTAACACTTATATGCTACATTAATTGGAAATTTTAACTTTCCTTTGCATTAAAAATGCATTAAACTCTTTTCCGGTCGCAGGTACTTTATTTTTATTCTAGATATTTAAAACGTAATGTCTGAAACTCTATGCTTGAATTTTTTCACATCCGCTGGAAAGTACGTTTCATCATATATAAAATGTGTATTCAGATGTAGAAGCTGATTTTATGCAAATGAAATAAATGATGCTTCCTTTAGCGAGGATTTTAAATGGCATTATTTAAGTTTTGAAACATTAACGCACAAAACTAATCGCCATTCAGAACCGATTAGTGTCCAAATGAAAGCTTCACACTCTCTACGCGCAAAAGGAAATGCAGATTGAAATTCAGATGTGAACCTTAAACCCGAAGAGTGATGCATTTTTTCTGCTGGGATCGTCTTAATGGTATTTTAATGGTTTTCGAATGCAAGTGAATGCAGACTATTATCACAGCTGACTTCATGAATTAATATGTATTAACTATTAATACCACTTTTGTGATAGTCCTTGTGAAAATACGTACGCATTTTGTCAAATAGCAAAAATAAAAAAAAATAAAAATGCAGGCTCATTGAAATGTCTTCAAGCAGTAATTTTAGAAACTGCTGCGTGAGCTGTAAGCAAACACTTGTGAGTTATGTAACAAGTTCAAACACTTCTAAGTTTCTTCATATTTAAAAGTGCATATAACGGTAAAAGAATTGATTTTATACAAATGAAATAAATTATGGTTCTTTTATGGCTCATTTTATATATAATTACGTTAGCTTTTATATATTAATGCACAGAACCAATCACTATTCTTATTTTTTGCAGAAATAATGTTGCAGGCTTGGCAGTTTTCTTTCAAGATCGCATCATGTTTCATGTAATGCGCGTATGAGTTCATTAACTGATACGCCTTTAATTTCTTTTAATCAGTTTAAAGTTAACATTAAAGTAGTGAAACAAATTGCATAAGTTTGAGAAAGGTACTTAGCTTTCTTAAATCCGATCTTTCAATCATCGTTTATTTGTCATAAGGATACTTACAAAATCATTTATACTAAATAATTCACATAACTTAAAAAAATCTGGCAAATCTGTGTGAAGTTAAAACACGCAGGCAGCAACAGCTGCCTAGAAGTCTTGAACCCATACTTGAATCCATTTACGCGAAAATGCATGATAAAAATGTGAGATAGCGAGCTTTTGTAATATGCTGCACAAAGATGGCTTCCAGTACCTCCTGTAGGTTATATTACTGTCTGAAATATTGGTGTAAAATATACACACATTTAAATTCAGATATAATCATACTCAAGTGAAATCCCAAAGTCTAGTTTAAATTTAAGGAATCTTTTGATTCCCCTGTACGTTTTTATATATACCTTATATACCTCTTTATGAAATGCATAATTAATACTTTGCTGCAGCTGGTTGGTATTATATTTTCGCTCCATTTATCCTTTACTACCATAGGATGTAACGATTTCATATCATAGGCATTTTTATAATGATTGCACGGATCATCTGATGATTGCACGGCTGCTCAGATACGAATTTAACTTATTTTTTGCTACAAAGACTTAAAATACTGACCTTAAGAGTACCATCTGCCTGATTTTCAAATCTGGTTGAAATGTTCCTAGAAAACAACATTTTTGAGAAATCAGTTTTAGTTTTTTTTACAAACAAATGGAGTTTTTCTCCTTGTTATTGTACCATTTACAGAAAAACAAGTTCTGTACAACCAAACGGAAAATCCAAGGAGAATATCTATTAATTTTAAATTTCTCCAAAACAAAACACTCTACGGGGTTATCACGCAATTTTTGTTTATTTGATAATGGCAAAACACACGACAGTTTCTGCGTAAGGAAAGGGATGCCTTCCTTAAATATTGTCTAAGCAAATCTGGCTAATATCCATGTTACACGTGAGAAAACTACCAAACCACCCATGCAGACTGCCCGTTCGATGGGATTTGGAAGCAAGCATCAGTGTTCAGTAATCTTATACACTTGGCACATTTGAGCGCAATTCAATTATTCTATCATTAGCAAACGTATCATATTTTCATAGCAACTTCCCATACGTGCAACGTAAGCAAATAACACTGATGAATAATCATTTCCTTATAATTCAAAGTTGACTTTAAATTTGTATCGGTGTCTATTAACAGCTCTCATTCTTCATGACTTTATTGGTACTCCAAACTTTGCAAAGAGCCCATGTATCTGCAATGTATAAAACCATCCTTTTTAGGAAAAATTAAAAATTTCTCTCTCTGATAAAAACGACTTTTTTTTTTTTTTTTTTTTTTTTTTTTTTGTATTTTTTGTATTTTTCTAAGAAATTCCATATCCCTAAACCTGAAGGCAATATTTCAACACGTCTGTTTGATAAATTAAGATCACTAATAGAATTATTTAACTCCAAATGGCTCGACATTGTACGTTTCAAGGTTAAAAATGTTTAGGCAAATAATACCAATATGTGCTGTTTTAGAACATGGAAAGTGCAATGGTGAAATTCGGACATCACATTACAAATCAGCACTATAAAAGATATAAGAAGCACTAACTTTCTGTCATACCTAAATTATAATTGATTAGCATAATAGGCTAACATCTGAATAATTTACAGTAAAACACTTCTCGTAAAATACTCTAAATTATGTCTAAAATTAAACTAGGATAAGAATCGATTTACTTACTGGTGGTGAAGTGAGAACACTGACAGCTGTCGCAAGAATCTTCAAACTCAGATGGTCTTCTTGTAGCTCATTTTCGTCTTGATGTTCTTCGGCTAGACTGTATATTTTTGATTTTTCTCCACGTTTTTGTTGGGAAGTTGTACTGTCTTTCCCCTGCATCTTGCTTGCGGTTGGTAATGTAGAAGTAGCACGATTTCCGGCGCAGTGAAAGGGACAGCCCATGCCCATGACGATTCTGTACACAAGAAGGAAAAAAATCTAGCTTTAACTTAACGCTTTCTCTCAAAACAGACAATCTAGTTCTAAATATGAACTTTTGGTTAGCATTTAGGTTACCTGCTGATTCTACAAAAATTCAAAGATTTTACAACACGGCAGGCTAAATATTTTCACGTTACCGTATTAATATGTTGACTTGGCATGCATTCTTAATTTACCTTCCTATACACATTGTGAGGTTTATTTAATTTGTTTAATTTGTTTAATTAGTTATTTTATGTTTTGAATCTTCACTCTCTCTTCTCTTCCATTTTCCTACCAGAAGGCAAATTTGTTCGCGTATGTAAGTGATGGTTTGTGATTGTTTTAGATAGAGCATGTTCTCCCTCTTGAAATTCACATTACTATTTCTGCTGTTCTAAGAAACAAATTCCTGCCTTCGGCCTTGCATTATACTTGCTGATAGTTAACGTCACGTCGGTGAAGTCCGAGCCAACTTCGCGATAATTTACTCTGCGCAGCCTTTAGCCATTAGCATCGAAATTAGGTTTACTTTTGAATTTCTATTTTGAGTTCTCGTCGTAAGTGCTGGCGGATTTGTATGCAACAGGAGTGCCTTCCATTTATCTGTCTTAGCTTACAATAAAGTGTCTTTTACACCTTTTCCATGTCCATGTTGTATTTTCAGACATACCGATAAGTCGCTATACATGTATCAAATATTTGGTCAACGTTTATAGTAGTGAAAGACTTCAAATCTCACAACATTTTGACAATTGGAACCAATTTTTGCCTGTGGCTTGTAGTCATTATTTGTCATATGTATTCCTCTAGTGATACATATTTGAGGGCCGGACCAAAACATAATTTGGAAAGTTTATTTAGGCTTCACTCAGAGATTAGGCATTGTATTTTCCTTAAAGGTACTTATTGAGTTTTTCAAGATTAAGAATCGAAATGTAGTCTAACACATAAAGTGAGTTGTATATCTATTGAGTAAAATTTCAGAAATCTTTGTTTCGTTAAAGAAGTTTCAAGTGAATTATTCCACGCATAAACGCATTTTAAAACTATAGAGTAAAAGTATTAATCCAGTCTCTACTTTGTCTGGGAAATTATTACTTCCTCGCATTATTTTGATAAAATTATTTACTTTGTTAAATCAGAAAAATCTTCAGTGGGCACTTACATAATAAATAGAAAACCTAAAAGTAATTAAATCTATCAGGCATCTTTTTCGCGCAAATGTAACATAACTGCTGTATTCTTTTTAAACAGAAAGCAGTTCCTACACGAATGTAATTAATGGAATGGGACAAAGCGATTTTTTCACAGAATTTTAAATTGGTCACCAGTCCCTCAAAGAAGTTTTATCTGTCTTAATGCTAACTGGATGTCTACTTTCAACTATTTTAGAACAGATTTAGTAAATAAATTTGGATCATTGCACTATTTTTAAGTTTGTTTATGTGAGAAGAGGGAGTTTCTTTTGTATACGTTTTAAATATATTCTGTATTCGTTCATTTTAGTGTACTAAAACTGGATATAATGCCTAGAAAGAGAGCAAAGATTATGGCACTTAACAATCACACATTCTCGACTAGAAAATATTGTTTCCCCCGTTGATGGTGGGAAATCTATCATTTCTCGAATTCTGAGGACACCCAATGAAGCTGGAACATTTCCTCCAGAAAGGAAGAGCTAACTTGAAAGGATAAAGAAAGCAACTCCAAACTCTAATCGATTCCTACTCGAAAATAGCACTTTTAATCAACTAAGATCTTGAAAGAGATCTGTTTTCTATCGGTATTGATATTCATCCTTCAAATCTGCGGTATAGACTTCTTACAGCTAGTATTAAGGTGAGAAGGCTAATTAAAAACAACTTTTGATACGTAACATAGAGCAAAAACCTCTATTGTGGACCAAAACATACATATCTTGGGCAATCAATGATTGAAAAAAAATGATTTTCAGTAATGAGACTCAATTATTTGTTCATGGTTCAAGATCTAAAATTATTGAACGAAGCAAATGTGAATCAGTAAAATAATAATATATCCAACAAACCGTAAAATATCCACAAAAACAAATATTTTATTTTCGGGTCTTTCCATTGCAGATGGCCCTCAAAGTCGAGCTCCTGTTGACAAAATAATCAATTCATATAACTATACAGAAACTTTAAAACGTAGGATTGTTTCACTCTTAAAAACCTTTTCAGAGATATTTCAGCTTGACTTCGCTCTATGCCACAATTCGAAATCTGCCAGAAGGTTCTTGTTGGAAAAAACAATTTTATGCTAGTATTAGCCTGTAAATCCACCAGACTTAAATACGATTGAAAACTTGTGCTGCATTCTCAAAGAACATCTCAACAAAATGGATTGTAAGAGGAAGAGCGCATGGTTAAGAACGCTATAGCAGTGTGGTTTATTGGTAAAGAAGTAAAACATATGTACGAGTACAAGACTAGTAAATGACTAAGCGCATTCTAGAGACCAGTGCCTAAGCTCATGCTACAAAGGCAGACTTATTTCCTATTAATTTTAGTATTATCCTTCTATATGAAGGTATCTATATAATTTTTAAATAATCACTTTTTCCCAATTAATTTACATACTATAGTATCTACCAAACGCGGTTTCTTAGAGTCATTTTAAATTAAGAAAATTCAAACTTCTTTCATCGATTCTGCAGTAAATGTCAATTTTGCAGCTGAGTAGGATGTCTACTAACTTATTAGCAACAAGGTTGTAAGGATCTTAAGTTTTGCTAACGTTTATTTTATTTTAAATCTTTACTATCACTTCTTAATTTCTACTTCCGGCCAGATTAAAAGCGTTAACTTATTTATGCAAATTTGTCTGCGAACGCCAAGTACTTAAGTTGTGGCTTTTTTGCCAAGCGAGAGAGGAAGGAGTAGTCGAAGCAGGCCGCTTGCCTTAGAAGTTTTACTCGGTTGCTTTTGCCTTCCAGCCAGCGTTTAATCTCGTGATAATTTTAAACGTATTGTATGTTAACATTTCTCTTACTACATACGGCTTCCTGTTAATATCAGGCCAATCTTCCTACCGTTTTATTCCAAATTTAAGTTAGAGTTTATTTATATTTTTATATTCTTACGTTCAACCACAAGTAGTTGGTCTTGTATTCCGAAGTACGGAAATTATTGTAAAGAGTGAAAAATAAAGGTTTCGTATACCCTTCCTTGTATCTTGTCTACTTCCCCAGTTATTGAACATAGCTTTAGTAAGCTCCCTGTTCCGAGTCAGGTCTGTGCATGTTCCCAAAGAAAGTAAGGCGGAACATTGAACCTGATAAGGTTAGCTTCATATTTATCAGTAGCTAATATGAAGACAACGGAAATTCATGAACACAGTGAATGCAGCAAATTCTCTTAATTAGCCGAGTTGGAGGGTTTCTTACTACAGCAAGTTAATTCACAGAACTCACAGAAATTATACGAAAAAGTACATCTATTATAACAAGCTTTCATACATATCGCTCTATCGAATAAGAGCCTCCTTCACATAAAATTTTAGCTTCTGTATTCACTACCAATAAAACATTCATACTTTCCTTCAACCTGGCATATTTTGTCTGCACCGCACACTGCTTAGCAGTTAGCTTTCACAGCTGACTGCTAAGCAGTGAGCGGTGCTGTTGCTTAGCAGTTAGCTGTGACGAAAACTCAGGTTGACGAAACACTTTTGTGTTGTATCTTCAAGAAACATTTTCACTTGGCTTGACGTACAGAATGACCTCCTGATCTGTAGTACCTCATTTCGAGATACCTTGTACATTTTAGCTCACAAAAAGTAATCTCCAACAGAACAATATTTATCAATACCTGTATCTACTTTTCCCTTCTTTAACATAAGTAGCACTAAAAATTTCTTTTATCAAGAATCAAATTTGATGAGAGCTTAAACAGATTATAAGGTATTTTCTCCCTCCTGTGTAACGATAGTATATTCGGCGTGCATTCAAGAGGTCGAGGTTCGTGTCCCTTCGAGGGCATTGCTCATTTTTCAAGTCTCCTTCTTCAAAATAACCTAATGGCTCTGTTACCGTGAAAGACCGAAATTGGAGAATGTCGACCTTCACCGGAGAATGTAAACATTCATCAAATACGTCATGAAAGACGAATCTGCATTCCATTCTGTACTTTGTCCCACCGGTGTATGTCACAATCACAATTCTCTGATGTCGGTCAAAATAGAGGAATGTTGTACCCTGCCATCCAAAATAAGTGGTTCACAAAAATTCAGTTGGAAAAGCAGGGCCTCTTGTGCAATCCAAATGTTGTTGCATAATAAATTGATCACATATTTGATTTTTTAACTTCTATTATTTGCCTTTCTCCTTTGAATGTTCTTGTTTTAAGTTCTTATGTTCTTAAGTTCTTATTGAGTCTCAAGTGCAAAATACGATAAAAGATATGTTTTTAGATGTTCAACTTCACCATTAGGACATGGTGAATGTCGACATTCTCCGGGTAAGAAATAGAGTATTTGGAAAATATTTCGGACATACACCAAGCGACTATGTGAACGTTGACATTCACCTGTGAAAGTCGACATTTTCCAGATTTCGGTGTTTCACCGTAACATCTCTACAATGACGTCCGAACTAAAAGGTGGTGGACGCTGCTTCTTCACCACCAAGATTTGACGACTGGGTTGTCTAATCTGCAGTCGCCCTTTAAAAGGGAGAGTATAGAAAGCATTTTCTCCCTCTTTTCTGCATGCCTTCATGGTATAATGATAGCACCCTCGCCGCGTATTCGAGAGGTCCAGGTTCGTGTCCCGGAGAAGGCATTGCTCATTTTTCATGTTTCCTGCTTCAAAATAGCCTAATGACTTTACATTAGAGTTATTTAGAATTTTTTTCTATATCAGGAAATTGAAGAAATGAACAGTGCCCTCGCCGGGACACGAACCTGGACGTTTCGAATACGCGCCGAGTGTGCTACCGTTACACCACGAAGGCATGCAGAAAGGGGAGTAAAA